ATGTATAACTGGTCGCAGTCCTCCTGGCACTTAACAGCATATACAATATTGCTCTGTTATCACTCCACCCCCTGTTAACAATAAGTGTTAATTAGGTGTCAACGATAGCCATGTGATGTGAGTATCAGTCACATGGAGGCAGGGCTTAAACGCCTGAATTTTTCCTGAAACTCTCAGACTGAAGAAGTCTCTTGGAGGAGACTGATTTTTTACCTGGATTACTGAGATGCATCAGGACAGTCAAGTTAATAGTTATAATCAGGTCATATTAAAACTCCAAACGTTCTGGGTGAAGTTTTGTATTCTACATGAAACATAAAGCTCTAATGGTCATTTAGAACATCATCATATYTGAAATCTCTGGACAAAGAAAGAAAAAACTTGTATCTGAAGGAAGCGACAGGAGGAAGAAAGAAGCTGACGTACCGTCTGCATCAGGTCACTGCAGCAGCAGAGAGACACCACAAAACACTGTTATACACAATATACACACACTATTCACACAAAGTACACACTGTTACATACACACACTGAGGAAGAGGAGGGCTGCTAGAGAGCAGTCCTTCATCAACCACTTCCTGTTTGCTGGAGTTTTGAGCGGTGAGTCAGAGGCAAAGCAGCATGACTCACAGTCAGAACTCAGCTGGCTCTGCTACAGAACACACAACCCGTTTCACTAAGTTACAACCATCTGATCCAGGATTACACAGGAGCTAGACTGAGTCCTTAATCCTGGATTAATCTGGTTCATCAGCTAAACGTGGTCCTCAGATTTRTCCTGATTCAAAACAATCTACAGCCGAGTTTCAGGTTTAATCATCACAGGTTGTTTTAGCTGCTGAAGCAAACAATTAGCATTTATTTATTAGAAAAAGCAATGGTTAGCAGTGGTTAGCAGAGATTAGCAGTGGTTAGCAGAGATTAGCAGTGGTTAGCAGAGATTAGCAGAGGTTAGCAGTGGTTAGCAGAGATTAGTGGTCTCGGACCACTCAGGTTCTACAGTTTCTTGTCCAGAAACGGAATCGAACATGATTCTGATGGAACAAATACAACGAGAATATCAGCTGTTCCTTCATCCATGTTTGGTTCAGGACTTACTCCTGATGTTTAAACACATCTGCACATGGTGCAGAACCACAGAAGAAGAATGTGTGGTGCAGARGAAGAGCAGGCCTGAAGCAGAACATGAAGCATGTGATGATCAGTCAGCCTAACCATTAAACACAGACATATTAAAAGCAGCTGGTCACATGGTCACAGCCTCCAGTCCTGCAACATTCACACAGATACAGCAGCACGTTGTTCCTGTTCAATCAGACCCAACACCTGTTCCAGCTCACCTGCAGAGGAAAACACACTCACCTGCATCTTTAAACGCCATCCTCATCTCCGGAGTGCTCATGGTCCCAGAGTTATCTGTGTCGTTCTTCTTATAGATGGACTGCAGCACAGAGAACATCCCCACTCACACATCCACACAAACCAGGCTTAAAAACATCTGGATTCTCAGGTCAAAGGTCACATCTCACCAGGTATTTCTGCACCTTCTTCCACAGCGTGGCAAACTCCCCGATGCCGAGCTTCCCATTACCGCTGTCCTGCTGAACRTTAAAGATCACTCAGGTCTTCAGACAGGAAGGACAACAGATCAACCAGCTGATCAATCAGCTGTAACTGGAAATATGGATGGAGGACC